TCTTTTTCTAACCACCGATATGGAGATTGACCAATTAGCAGCAACGTCAATTTCCCTTACTTCCTAAACGATGGCTTTCCTCGACGAATCCGATGATCTCGTGTCCCTAGACACACCCCATTATAGTTTTCCTCGGTGGCATCATCGGGACGGGAGAGGCATTCCTTTTTGCGCCCCCGTCGACTAAAGAGTAACGTCTTTACGCTCAGTAATTATTTTACGAGTCAGACTCAGATTCAGCGAGAGCGCCCGTCTGTCATCCCGTCGACCGCGGATTCGTTATAGAACCTAAGACCACTGTCACTAGTGTCGCGGACGTCTCACCGCCGTGGTAGATTGTCAAACCTGTGTTATCCATACCTGTGTCAATAAATCGTATCTTCGTTACACCGCAACGATGGCTACCTTCAATGAAAACTCCTCAAACACCGGCAACCCTATCCCCGACGCTACTCCGACATATATATATTTTTTTAAATGTGTTATCTATTTTATGTTTGTTAAATATATTTAATTTTATATTTCCCCTTTTTTTTAATTAATAATATATATATATATTTTTACATTTGTAGTTGCGCATAGAATTTATTAAAGAAAAGTGTTAACAATGTGTTTTCATGATTTGTTTCTCGCGCCAGACTTCCATTAATCCCTAATATTCCTGTCGCCATGACGCGTGTAAATCCAACATGGCTGTTCATAAATGTCATCAGTAAAGTTATATTGACGGGTCTTTAGTTTGCTTGATATTGAAGTAATTTTCCGTCTGTCGCTCGTTCTTCCTTACCCCACCGCAATTAGAACATTTATTTATTAATATTGTTTTAAAGTGACAATAGTATTATTCTTGTGAATATACGTATATATATATATATGTTTATGTTGAGTGTCATTTCAATATGGCTAATGTTTTGTAATTCTTCGATTGCGTTATTTATTGTTTTGAGTAGTTTGTTTTATAGAGTATTTGATAATGTAAAACATACGCAGACACACACATATATATATACGTATTTATATGCATATTTCTCCTGGCCGTGCAGTATTCATACGAAATGAAATGTTAATTATTTATTTTATATTAACTTCTTTTAATAAGATAGAACACGCACACGCACACGTATATATGTATATATTTCTGGCAAAGTGATTTTCATTTAGATTCTTTAGCGATATAGTGTTGTGTATTTGAGGTTATGTGTCAATCATTTGATTTCATATATATATATATATCTTGTATTGTGACAACATAGTATTGAAGGTTTTGTTTCTAGATTATTGTGCGTTTAATGTGTGCTTACATATTTGTGTTTGATGGTAGAATTTCTGTACGCAATTCCTCAAGTCGTTGCGCTCTTAATTATTTTGAGCGTTTGGCCTATCGACAGGTTGTCACTTAGTCCCAAGTGTTGCGTTGTGTGTTCTATTTCTTTTGTAGATTATTAGTAGTAGTTTTAGTTTAGAAAATAGATTATTTATATGTTTATATAGAGACATGCATGTTTCGTAATGTAGTTCTTATTTTATCATTCTTTACCGGCATGTAGGCTAGTTTTAAGTATGTATGTTAGATTGTAGAATGCGCATAGATTAGTAGTAGTTTAGAATATAGATTTTTTATATGTTAGCATAGAGACATCCATGTATCGTAATGCAGTTCTTATTTTATAATTCTTTACCGGAATGTAGGCTAGTTTTAAGTATGTATCTCAGATTATTGATTTGAATTAATAATGTTGAATGCGCACATATTAATAGTAGTTTAGAATATAGATTATATATATATTTATATATAGACATGCATGTTTCGTAATGTAGTTCTTATTTTATAACTCTTTACCGGAACATAGGCTAGTTTTAAGTATGTATCTGTTTGATAGAATGCGCACACATATATATATGTTTCTGACAATGTAACTTTTATTTCTTTAATAATACAATATTGCATGTTTCATGTATTCGTTAGACTATTAGTTTTTGACTTCATATAATCTTATATTTCATAAATTGTTAATATTGTATTTGTTACATAGTATTGT